TCAGGCCAGTAAACTAATTTCAAGTTTTACATGTAGCCAGAGGAAGATCTAGGGGAGCAGGGGGGACGCCCCCCCCCCCTTAAGGGGGGGGGCCCCCCCCCCCCCCCCCAACAAATAAGACCTTACTGGTTCCAGTGGGGGTTATAAGGGAAGGGGGGCAGAGGGTCTTGCCCCTCCCTTTATTTCTCTGTCCCACCTCCCCATCTAAAAATTCTAGATCTGACCTTGGCAGCAACTTGTATCATTAAGCTGCCTGTAGACACAATAATTATTTCCTCCAAGGCCCAGTGGGCCACCGGTGGCACCTCAAACTTTAACGTTAAATCAAGCAATAAAAAGAAATATGGGTATAAAACGCTTCTGTGTGGTTTAAGACTATTGTATTTAGAATGAAAAGCCAGAATATTGAATTTATTATTTACCTTGAGATGACAATACCGACACATAAAAAACCACTAGACAATAGCATGAGCACCTTCTTATGGAGGCAGACATATTTGAGTGAAGTGAAAGATAATGGGAAATATGACAGTTTCTAATTGGTCAACAACGTCAAAGGGAATAGTAAATGACAAAATGAAGTGGAGTCATTTTGTGTGGTGTTGGTGGGGACGTGTCAAATGTGTTGGTCACGGGTGACCCACTGGGCCTTTGAGGTGACATTAGAAAAGCCTTTAAAAAGAACTCCTGGCAAACTGCGCCAGGCTATAGCAAGCAATCTGACATCCTATTCATCTAAAGCTTTTAGATTCGATGGCGCAGTACGCGAGCATTGCTTTTTCCTATATCCGAAAACTACCACCGTGGAGCAGTATATACACCACATTAAAATTGTGATTGAAAATTGCCCAAGGTTTGGGTGCTCTTAAATAGTACTCCTGAAATTCAATCGTCATTTGTTGAAAAGTCAGGTGTGACAAAAGGCCCATTCCCAATAATAATAATAATAATAATAATAATAATAATAATAATTTATTATTGTCCTACGCACGTTAATAACAATGACGTATTGTTTGATAAAGTTATCTATACACATCATAGCCAGGTGATATCAAAGTACAGCGTGATTTATCAGTAATATGCTGCTAACAGCGGTGTGCCTGGTGTTCCTGTGTGTGTGTGTGGGGGGGGGGGGGGGGGGGGGGGGGGATGGGGGTTGTCACTTTTAATGGGCCAGGTATGAATTTGCATTTGGCTTGTCATCAAGTCAAATATGACTTGATACCTGGTGGCTTGACCAACCCTCGTTGCACAAGAACAGGTATAAAAGTCACTAGGTATTATTGATAAGTCATTTCACTGAATGACATTGATAGGGGAAGTATAAATGAATGGTGTTTCATCATTAATAATCCTCCGTTATTACATTGTCAGCTGTTACCTTATTCCATTTGCAAAGAGGTAACTTTATGGCCGACGTCAGGTTTTATCATGACAACACACGTTTTTTTTTTTCTTTTTTTTTTTTTTATCCACTGACGCTTTCATCTCCCTGTACTATTTAAAGTATAGCGCTGTTATTGAAAAGTGTTATTTTGTCCTTTTTCTGCAGACATCAATAAAACTCGTTTCCTACTAAAATCCATATAATTGCCAAGGCGTCTGTCCTTAATGCACATTTTATCATGGTTACGTAACTTCAGTGTGCTGATTATGTAAGGTTAGTGACTGTTTTCTCTATTGATATTTTACTGTCTTAATTTTTTGGAATGTCATTTTTTTGTAGCCAGAACTTGGGCCCCATGATCAGTTATCCTTTCAATTCTAACTCTTCGGATTGTGTTGTCTATGATTATGGCGTCCCCCACGATAACAGCCAGAGTTAGAAATATACTTAAAATGAAATGTTAAAGTCTTTCTTTTCTTTGGCCTTTTTCACTGTACCATTTACGTAACAATATGCCGTTTTTTAACGGGGAAGAGTCTGAATTAGAGATTTGATATGGAAACCAAATGCTGTATACTGGGAGCTTGCATAGGTGCTTTTCTCTCTGGTAAAATAATGCTAAAACTTTTTGCAATAGTTAAAAACAACCCCTAGCTCCATCTCAACCACGAAGATGAACAAACAATTTTACGCAAATGTACTAGTTGATTTTGTTATACAGGGTTGCTACTTAATATGGAATATTTTTTATCATTCTTATTTTTGAGTGCTGATCATTATTATTATTTTTTTTTTTGGCTTGAGTCATCAAAAAAGTATGTCACTGAGTGATAAAAACATCCAGTCTTCTGTTGTGAGATATTTTGGTCAATGATATCAAATCTGACATAAGATGCCATTCTAAAGAAAGGGACACCCCAAGAAAATCATATCAACAGTTTGATGTCAGCATTAACTTTAAGCTAAGATATTAAAGAAAACGATAGCCTCCGGACAGTGATATGTTACACAGTCAAAGAACTCACAACAATAAATCATGAAAAGTCAGTAATTGCTGGTATGACCTCCAGCAGCCGCTTGCAGCGCCCTCATCCTACATGGCATATCCTGTGACACGTTTTTTACAGTTTGGATGGGGATATCATTCCACGCAGTGATATTTGCCTGTTCGCAGTTCATCACTATTTACTGGCCGATGACCAAAGCTATTAATTCTGTGAGTTCCTTTTGCCCAAAGTTTTTCAATTGGGTTCATATCTGGAGAGTTTGCAGGCCAGGGCAGGCGCTGAACCCATTGGTTTTGAAGAAAAACAGTGATTCTGCGGCCTCGATGTGGGGTTGCGCAGTCGTCTTGGTACACAAAGTTGTTTCTGAAGATGACTCTTACCAATCGAAGCATTGTTTGCTGTAGAATGTCTCTGTAGGAGTCCTGGATGAGGTTGCCTCCTAGAAAAACCAACTGGTTCTGGGCACCGACATGAAATGCTCCCCAAACAGAGACGTTACCATTCCTGCTTGCTTCCTAGGCAGTACACAATCATCGTTTTATGCCCCTCGTGCACGTTGGTGGACACGGATTCGACCATAAACCCTAAAAAATCCATATTTGGCCTCATCACTGAAAACGACGTGATTCCAGTGTTTTGGCAGCAAACGCACGTGGTCCCCAGCCTATTGCAGACGTCGCTGTATATGACCTGCTGTTAACAGTGGTTTCCCTACTGACCTTAGTGCAAAATAACCGGCTTGCAGTAATCTCTTGTTCACGAGGGACATTGAAACGGGTGTTTGAATGACATTCTGCCTCTCCTTTCTGAGGACACTGGTTGTCTTTGTACGACCAGCTCGATGTCCTCTAAGGTTAAGGCGATCCTGTCTTCTTGGTGTGATACGCGGACACCCTGGTCGAGGTATAAGAGTAGGTGCCCCTGTTGCAGCATTTCTTTGGAGGACTTCACAAACGGTTCCTGATAAATGTTATATTACCTGGCAATGGCTGTCCGTTTCTGGCCATTTTCTCCGAGAGCAAGAATCCCATAGTAAGCTGCGTTGATTAGCTGTCGAACCATACCTTCACTAAATTACCTGTCAAGTTTCAGACCGATCACTTTGTTGCTTCTCTAAACACACTCCAAAGATTGACCAAACCCATGCGCTTTTATACAAGGGCAGAAATTGCCGAAAAGACCACCCCTCACATTTCTGACCACAGAACATGCAACTGCATGCATCAATTATTTCGAGAGTTGTGTGGTAGTTGGGTAACACACCTGGCTACACATAGAGTGACACCTCAGCTTTGGATTTAAAGTAGTTAGAGAGAAATGAAATATTTTGTAGAAAATTTACTCGCCAAAAATATTATTCCATATTAAGTGGTATCCCTGTAATTTTCTACTCTATCTACAATAGATTATTTATGTTTAATTAGAGGTGCAGTAAATATGTAAATACAAAAGCACATTTATTGGTGAAAGGAAGACATTGCCCTACTTAAAAGTGACTTTCGAAAAGTCACGTAATAAAACTTGTTATTCTATGTTGAGAACAAGTGTCTTTTTAATAAATAAGTGTTTAATTATAATTAATAAACAAGTGTCTTTGCAATAAAAAAAACTTATTAGGAAATCTGAATGCAATCTAATATTTTTGTTCAAATGCTGAATTTTGTATAAATTCTTGAATAGATTACTGGTACATAAAGATACAAAAATGAACAGCCCTGAATACTGAATACATGCATGTATTGGTAGGGACTAAATTTCAGGCTGGATAGTTACAGTAAATAAAGAATTCCAGACAACTGGTACATTCAATGGACTTCTCCCTGAAGGTGCAAATATCTTATACGGTGATTACGTAATTTCCTTGTGCAACCACATGATCAACTTCCGCTCTCCATGTCCTAACATATTCCAAAGGTCAAAGCTCGTCATACATTTCGAGAGCCGGACTTTTTTGACTTATGGAGATCTTTTTTTTTTTTTTGGCATATGGGGAAACAGTAATCAGTAATCATACTTTTTCTTAAATACTTAAATAAAGCAACAGAAGAATATATGTCACTGGAAATGTATTGAATAAAATACCTTCTTGGCTGTCGAATATCAACATTCTGAGGGGAGGATTTTGTCTTCATAGACAGTGAATGTCTCAGTGAATTTTACAAAGTCAAAAATCACGTGCGAGGAGTTACAAGGTATGAAAACACCACATCTATGGTTTTAACGCGGGAAAAATGACCACACTGCGACCACTGTATTTATTGCCTTCCATAAACAACGCGCCACGTGCTGCGCCGACCCCACGATAGCGCTATCCAGTATTGATGAAACTGGGTCCTGGTGTTTTGACGGGAAAATAATTCATAGAGCTGAGTGTAACAGTTTACGCTGTGCGACGGGCTTGAAATTTAACCCGCGATAGTACGTTGTTTTTTTTTTTTTCTTTTGAAACCACTGACGCTTTCATCTCCCTGTACTATTTAGAGCATAGCGCTGGTATTCAAAAGTGCTATTTTGTCTTTTTTCTGCAGACATTAATAAAACTACTAAAATCCATATAATTACCAAGGTGTCTGTCCTTAATGCACATTTTATCAAGGTTGTGTAACTTCAGTGCTTTGATTTAAAGGACGAACGAAGTCCCCAGGGTGCACTACACGTTGAGTTTGTTCGACTGTTCATGTGCCTTCAAGATATGTTATGGGGATTTATGTAAGGTTAGCGACTGTTTTCTTTATCATATTTAAGACCCTTTCGGAATATTTAGGGTTGGACTGATTATATATATATATATATATATATATATATATATATATATATATATATATATATATATATATATATATATTGCATAATTGGTGTGTTTTGCATTAATGCAGGGATGGTCTCTCTCTCTCTTATGTCTCTCTCTCTCTCTCTCTCTCTCTCATAAGTAACACAGCAATTTTTCAAACGCTCATATATCATCGAGTCAATTTTATAGACACCAGTACATTATTTTAGGAGAACACTTATTCTCTCTTTGGTTGCGGTGTACGTGGCGGTAACATTGGGCGCAGGTATGTACAGCTACAGTTATTACAACCCAGGGGTAAATATGCAGTTCTACAAGTATGGGCCCTGGTATTATCGCCCGAACACGTGTCAGAAACCAGAGACGCCTGTTAAGCCTCTCTCCTGGTCCTCAAATCAAGTTCGGTCCCTTGGTTCTAAACTGTTTACAAGAAGCTCTGTACTGGTCCTACACCTGTAAATGTCCATCATGACGTGTTCCCCAAACGTGTCCCTGGCTGACTCTATTATGGTCTCCAATATTTGAGGTTTAAAACTTTGAGAGGCTACCAAAAAACGTTCGTAAACTGAATGTTAGAAAGAAATGCATTTCAATTATTTAAAATTGTATTATATTTGCTATAATATATTCTCATATTTTTTGAAGAACACAAAAGTTTTGCTGCATGACTACCTTTAGGATGCTTATTACTACTACAATATTTATGGCGTTCTCTGCTTGTTTTCAAGACAGTGACATTCGTGGGTGATTGTGTGCATGTGGGGGGGGGGCTACTCACTGTCATGATCGTGCGTTCTTTATTCCGTTTCAAGTTAGTATAAGCTCTTATTTTCATATGGACGCGTTTATGTTCCCGTTAATTTCCTAAATGTCCACTAGACTGTCAAGAACTATAGTGATTCAGAGCTTAAATCAGAGCTTAGTCCCTTATATAGGCACAGTATAATGGATTTTTACTGCATACATTTATAAATCTATTAATACTGCAATGTAAAGAGCTCCCTATGAAGGTAAGTCTAGCTACTTTATTCTTTTACGCGTTTTTTTTCATAATTTTTTTCCATTTTCAGGATTTAGGGTTTATGTATGGTCATTATAAAACTGCCAAAATGTAGGCGTATTGTGCAAGTAGTAGAAATGGATTATATTATTTTCGAATCAGCGGATCTTAAATAAACAAATTTTATTAATAAACGCGCAATATATTCGTAATTAAAGCCTATTTGCCTGTTTGACTGAATTTAAACTAAGACGCAACTGACCATAATGTGTGTTTGATTGACGGGGCTGGTTAAGAGATGTGCTGAATAACTTGTTGGTATTTATACCTAGGCTTTAACAAGCTGTATATCCCATATCATTCGGATAATGTTCAAGTGATGTTTTGCTACTGGATGACAACTTACACGTAGCATCCCAATTGTATTGCTTTAGGGGCGTACAGTGAAGGGAATATCATGAAAACCCAGTGATCTGATCAACTAATGGTAGAGGACAGATCCAGTATAACTACGTAGTATAAGTATGCATACCAATGCAATTTACTATTACACAACGCCGTACTCCCTTGGGCAAAATTAAAGGCTAACATCCCCGTTTCAATTTACCACTTCAAGGGAAAGATTCAGAACAGCGCCCTGGCCTGAATTTTGATCTTATTAACTGACCCTTAGAAACCACAAAATTTTCTTTCATGCCCGAAATCTGTGAATTTAAATACTCAATCCCCACCATTAAAAGTGCCACCGACCCTCACATTGACTGCCTCCCTTGTTATAGAACACAATTCAAATTTCGAATCCTATACATTATAGTAGATGTGCGTACATGGAAAACATCAAAACAGACTAAAGGCATTTTCGCGTCGATCATTATACCGTTTTATTTGCATCTCATCTGTAGCGACATTTGTTGCCAGATTAACGAAGCACCGCGCAATTATGTAAGAGAACCACGAAAACAGAGCACCCGCACCAGACACGGGCATTTAATTTTGGTTGGTCCGTAAGGGGCTTGCATTCGACCGGAGGCAGAGTTGTGAATCAATCTATAGTATATTATTTTCCGTTTATATAAAAGTTACCTAAGCCCCTCATAACGCTATCTTAAAAATTGGTCACTTTATGACCCTTTAAAACACCGCTACAGATGTAGACACTCCAACCCAATTAAGTTCGATGTGAGAAAACTTTCAACAAAAAGTGAAAATGTGAGCCACATATATTTAGATTAATATCGGAATAAATATATGACACGTTCCATTACTTTCACTGGTTTATATCATTGTACCCTCTAACAGGGAAAGCAGTCAGCAGTTATTAAAAGTAATATGAAACATTAATAAAAACGTTATGCAAAACGTGAGCGGTTGGGATAAGTAAATTTACGCTCTCATCTTTCATATGAAAAAAATGAATATTTATTACAAGAGTTCAGGGTGGGAGGGGGAGCATAAGGGCATAGCAACTATTATGTTATGAAATAACGATTTGAAATAAAAAAAGTCCAAGTTGAGCCTTTCTACTGATATACTTTATCGTGTTTCGTGACTATCTAGCTTGGTCGGTTAAGAAGATATATACCCCCCCCCCCCCTGCCCACACTTATCTCAACCTGTAAGATTGGAATGTCGATAGTCTGGCTCGGGCAATAAAATCTCACTATCTCCACATCTGGTTTCTATCAAGCGCATTCAGAGCTTCAGAGCTTAGGACAAACATATTGCTCCTCGGGCCAGGAAATCTGGAGAGGGGGAGAAGAGGAACATGTTTTCTCAATATGGAAAGCTATATATTTTTGGTAATTTCCTTTGTAACATTTACAAACACTATAAAATACCCTTTCTCGAATTAAAATCATGTTCACACATTTCTGTAAATATCCCGAATTTAAATACTAATGTTAAATATCAGAGACTTTGATTTATGACGAGAGAGAGAGAGAGAGATAGAGAGATAGAGAGAGAGAGAGGGGTTAAGACATTCTGTAAATGTCCCGAACTAGAAGAGAGTGTTATATAAACTAAACACATCTTGGCAATAACCCGTAGACAGTTAGCCTGCAGAGTGGTTTAGTTATTATGATCAACATTGTTTATATTCTTATTAATATCAAACAATTTTACTGTTTGCAGCTATACCAGTTTGGAACCTGTACTCTGCGCCATATAATAGCAATGGTGCAAAGTTGTGATATTGTAAAATCCTGCAATAAAATTTTCTTCAAATATCAAATTGTATTAGATGGTTGAATACAACATCAGTAATAGAACAGTAATAGAATTCAGTATAATGACACTGAATTGTTGTAAAGACATGAAGGAAGCAGGGTGACCATATATGCTCGGAATTTTGTCGGAGAGGGAAATTTCTCCAGTTTGTTCACTGCCCTGTGAAGCCATATTTTGTGGCCTGAGATGCCGTATCCGTTACTTCGTGACCTGACATGCCAAAAGCACGTCTGCGCGCTCTTTTCATCTTTCGATTCTTCCACATTAATCAAGATACGGAGTATCAATTACAAGTGGCCCGGGGGGGGGGGGGAGCACGAAGGGAATAAATAATTATATGTAGTATCCTTGCGACACAAGGTTACTCTGCAATTTATATCTTTCAATTTATGCTGTGAAATAATAGCCAGCTAGTCTGTTGATCTCGCGAATCAACCAAATGACCGTTAGTTGAGTTGCTTAACTGCAAGTAATTAATCCCCTCCCCTCCCCCCGAACGTCATACTGGCAGGTTTCCAAATGAAGACTATACCGCAGAAAAAATTTGGGGCCCAAAAGAGAGTCAGCCAAGGACACGTTTGGGGAACACGTTTGAACACGTCATGATGGACATTTACAGGTGTAGGACCAGAACAGAGCCTCTGGTAAACAGTTTAGAACCAAGGGATCGAACTTGATTTGAGGACCAGAAGAGAGGCTTAACAGACGCCGTGCTACAACTATGTTCTAACATTTATATCGGACGGATCTGCTAATTTAACAAATCTCCGAGGATCCCGCAGCAATGTTTTGGCTCATCACCGATTGGCTGGTCGCTCTGAGGCAGACGCCATAGAGGAGGGAAAGAGAGGAGCCGCATGGCTGAAGGTAAAATCTTTAGTCTTATAACCATATGCAGCACTTATCTCTTTCCCTCTTGAAATATTGACAAAATACTCATTTTCAAAATATCTATTGGAGCAAAAAGCACAGATGAAAAATAAAGTCAAAAGATTTGATAGAAGCTCACATAATCGGTGTGTGTGTGTGTGTGTGTGTGTGTGTGTGTGTGTGTGCAATTAGGAAACGCATAGATGAAAGTATTGTTAAATTTGGGACTCCCCTGAATGTAAATACACTTGTCTTTATCTTAAGAACAAATACGGCATCGATTTGACCGGGATACCGGATGAAGCGTACCTAGATGGCACCAAGGCAGTGACCATTGAAAACGGCGCCTTGACCTTCAGCACACTTCACCTCCCACGCACCGCCATGTACAGACTTGTGACGGCCAGTAGAGGGGAAACTGCAGAATTTTGCAATGTACCTATTTCTGACTCTGGTGTGTTAAATTGCCGTTTTTTTACAAATCCTTCTTAACGTATTACATAGATATGTAAGAATTTAGAATTAAATATATTCTGCCGGGTTGTTTTTAATGAGGTAATAATTAATCTATTGTTCGTATGATACAAGCCTAGATAAGAGGGCTTCAATTGCATCCCAGAATCCAATATTTTACAGACATTCGACACTGGCACATTTACAAAAAAAATATCTAAAAGAGGATTCCTTCTGCCATCATTTCTCCAGGTTGGATGATT